AAAAAAAAAAAAAGCTCAACTAAAATTATAATATATTTCTGTCTATCACCAGTAAATTTAGAGATAATGTAAAGTTGGCATGCTTTATTATTCATACAAAACTGTCGAGGACACTACTTATTTTTACCTTGATGTTCTAGTTTTTCATTTGAAGCCATATATTTACTGTCACTTCCAGCTTAACAAAGCATATCAACTTACAGCCAAAGTAGATGCACACGGAATAATTTGTCTAGATCAAGGGGCCTTAACAAGCGTGTTCTCTCACCAGGGGTCAAAATTGGTCTGACGTTTGGGGTGGTTTGTCATGGCTGTGCTTTCCGCCGCCACCGGTGGGACTCGACTCTGTCCGGCACTCTCATGGAACGAGTTGTCAGGTCGAGGAGAGGGGACTGCACAAAAGGACAGAACAAAAAAAAAAAAGCTAGAATATCAAAGCTTAAGTCAAACATTATTACATAAATACGTACTGTATTTACATACACTAGCATTTAAAAGTTTGGGGCTTTTTTGGGGATTCTTTTTTTAATATAATACTTTTATTCAGGAAAGACACATTAATTATATCAAAAGTGGCAGTAAAGACATTTATAATGTTACAATTGGTTTCTATTTCAAATAAATGTTATTTATTTTGACACTGAAAACTGGAGTAATGGCTGCTTTGGAAATTCAGTTTTGCCATCACAGGAATAAATTAGATTTGAAAATGTATTAAAATAGAATAATTAATTAAATAATATTAATAAATAATATTTCACAATATGTCTAGTACATTTTTGGGTACCTCTGTAAAAGCTTCCCACTCTGCGAGGCATCGAGTCACTGTAGATCATTCTGTTTTCCTTGGATGAGGTTCCATCCTCCATATGAGTGTCGTGGTACATCCCAGCCTGAGTTACAAGAGGATGGTCACACTACAGGATAGCATATAAAACAGCAGTTCCTACAACTTACTGCATAAACTGTCTTACTATAACAGAATATTTGCTTGGGGAGAAAGGAATGATTAAGGAAGAGAAGAATCAGTGAGAAAGAGAGGTTAAACTGACAGTTCATCCAAAAATGAAATTTCTGTCATCACTTATTCACCCTCATATCATTCCAAACCTGTGAGACTTTCTTTCTCCAATAGAACACTAAAGAAAAGACTTTTGACTATGGATTTTTTGGTTTTTTCTGCTATTGTGGGTCATGGTACATAAGCCACATATGCCAAATCGTATCCCTTTTTTGTTTTGTCTCCATTTTGAAGTTCGAAAGCATCAGACCCTACATTTTAATTGCACGTAAAAATAACATTTTTAAAATTTAATTCACTTAAAAAAGAAAGCTGAATTTAGAACAACATGATGGTAAGTAATAACAATTTTAACTAA